TTTTTTTTTTGGTAGATTATAATTTAATTTGAAATAAAAACAAAAAATTGAATTTACATACTTGAGAATGTCTAGTTCTTAAATCAGTAACAGTTGCTATAGGATTTAATCCAGCATTTTCCGCAAGTGTAGATGGTATGACTTCTAAAGCATCAGCAAAAGCTTTAAAACAGTATGCATCAACTCCAGTAAGTGTTTGGGCATATTCTGCCAATTTAACTGCAACCTCAGTCTCTGGAGCTCCTCCTCCAGCAATTAGGGCTCTGAAAAATTTCGTATATAAAGATAAATTAACTTTTCATTTTTTTTCACTTTACAACTTTTTAACATTTTTCTATTGAAAAAAAAAAACAAATTCACGCACCTTTTTTTAACTAAACACCTAATAACGCAAAGAGCGTCATGAAGTGATCTGTCGGCTTCCTCTAGTACCAATTTGTTGCTTCCTCTCACCAAAACTGTAATGGTTCTTCCCTGATTTTGAATACCGGTAATCTAAAAAATGAAAAATTATTTTTTTACTTATCACTGAAAAAAAATAATTTGATTATATTACATAATTTAAAAGTTGACATACTTTTACTATTTTACTGCTCCCAGCAAAAACTTCTTCCACTAAATCGGCACTAGCAAGATGTTCCGGAACAAAATGATCCAAGCTTGCAATAGGTCTACAGTTTAAAGTCTGCAATAAAAAATTATTCATTTCAAATACTTGACAATATTTCAAAATAAAAAACTTGATGTACTAAAAGTCGAACCTTGGCAACAAATTCTATATCTTCTCTTTCAATATCTTTGATCACCATAACTTTAATTTTGTCAAGGAAATGATGTGCTAAATCAGACACAGCATCTCTCAAAATTGATTTCTGAACAAGGAGAACGTTACATCCGGATTTTTTAATTTGTTTCACAATATTTAAAATATAGACACGCTCTTCTTTTAGTACTCGATCCATGGCAGAATAATCGGAAACAACTACACTGTGATCCATCTGTAAAATTCATATTTATATTAAAAAAATTTATTTAAATTTATGTAAAATGAAAAAATGCATATATTTCTCAAAATGTAGTATGATTTGAAGTTTTGAATCAAATAACATAAAAGTAAAATAAAAATCTTACATCAGTTTTTGGTGGAGATATGCAAAATTGGATTAACCCAATTTTGGCTTTTTCAATTTTTTTTGGCCCATTTACACCTGATGACTTTTGTGTAAAAACAAGTCCATCAATTAATTCAGTGTCTTCAACTGTACCACCCAATTTCTTTATTACTTTTACATCCTATAATAAAACATCAGCCAAATAAGTAAAACAATCCAGAGAAAAAATCTTTTTAGTTTTTTTTTTTAATAAAAAAAAATATTTCAGTAAAATTAATTTGTGTTCATTGTATTCATAAGTATCCATTGAAATATAAAACATCATTAATATTAATTTCATTTAATTAAATAATATTATTTACTATTTACCTACCTTCAGATCACAGTTAAAATTTCGTGCAGGATTAATAACCTTTAATACTGCTTCAACAGCCATTGGAGCAAGTACACTTGAATGCTGCGAAACTACCTAAATTTAAAAAAAAAAATTATATAATTAAAATTTTACTATTTTATTCATGTGAAAATGTAGTTTGTATCTACTTTTAAGATATAAAAATTTTTTAAAAAATTAATTACAATACCTTTGAATTTAAAGCTGTAGAAGCACTTTTAATTAAGCTTTCTTTGTCATTAAGATCAACAGGCACAGACATATTAGATAATATTTCAACTGCTTTGCTTGCAGCTCGCTGGAATGAATCTGAAATAGCTGTAGGATGAATACCCTTGGCAAGAAGTTTTTCTGATGCTTCCAATAAAGCACCAGCAATAACTACTACAGATGTAGTGCCATCACCAGCTTCAATATCTTGAGCTTTGGACAACTCAACTAGCTATCAAATGTAAAAATTAAAATTAGAGTTCCTCATGGTAGAGTTACATAATACATTGTTTTTTCATTCTGAGGCAAATTATCATAAACTAATTTTTGCACATTTATCATACTGAAAATTTTAATATCTGTCCTGAATTACACCCTAAAGTTATAGATTACACTTTAAGGGAACAAGCAAGACAAAAAATTTTTAATACTGATTAGTAAAAAAATAAAAATTATTGCAAACCATTTTCGCGGCCGGATGAATCACATTCATTTGCTTTAAAATAGTTGCTCCATCATTAGTAATGGTTACTTCTCCATTTGAGGCTTGAATCATTTTATCCATTCCTCTGGGACCCAAGCTCGTTCTTATTGCAGCAGCAACAGCTATATATAACATAAATTAAATTATTTATTAAATTAACTGATTTATACATTTTAAAAATAATTATTAATAATTGTTATGGAATGAGGTAAAAAAAAAAACGTAGTAACAAAATCAATGAACCGAACTGAATGAAATATACTCGGTTAATGTAACATTAAGAAACAAATATATAGTGCATAATTAACAATTTGAAATTACGAGTTACATATTAAAAACATAAATATTCAATAATTTTTACCTTTAGCGGCATTAATATTTGATGCACGAATGTCAGTTGGTTTTGCTTTATCTTTATAAGCAGAACCTTGTTGGTTTTTATTATCTCCGGAGCCTACTGAAGCCGTCATGATTACCACTTAAATATTTTTTCTCTTTTATATTAAAATTATATCAAATACAGAGGATGCACTTGGATAGTATTTCTAAGCTCTCAACTGAGCAATCTAATACGACATTTTAAAAAAGTAGAAAACCAGTTGTGCAAACTTTAACAATACATTGTTTCGAATGTATTTTAATTTTTCAAAGGTGGTAACATTTAAAAAAAAAATTCGAATAAGTTTAAACTTTCATTCAAATTTATCATTTATTTTCAATAATTAATTTATAGAAATGTAATAAAAGTAAAGAAAAAGTAAAGAAAATAGCGGATTTGATATTACCGAAGCTTTGATATTCGATATACATTATTTATTTGTTCCTAACCAGAAGAACAAAAGTAAAATTACAAAAAAAAATAAAACTTTTTTTTTCCAAAGTTTTTTCTCGATTTAAAAAAAAATAAATGTAGTCAGACTTCAGTTTAAATTTTAATTTAAAATAACACTTGAGAAAAAAAGTTTTATTTTTTTATTTTTAAGAAAAGGTTTATTAGTGCAGTTTTGTATAAAAAAAAAAAAAATGAATGAACTATTTCAAAGGTCAATATTTCGAATATCCTAAGTGCATTTACAAAAAATTTTTATCAGAATAAATAATTAATTGTTCATTTTATGATTATCAAATAGGAAGAATTATTTTCTTAAATTAAAAAGTTTTGTTTTTTTTTTTTTGTCATAATTATTATGATTTTATTTTGAATTATATCATTGTTAATTTATTACTAAGTATAAGTTATTATTACATTTATATTTACATAAACATAAATATATATATAAAGCTATTGCTGAAAATAAAAAAAATTTTTTTTTTACAATTTTACTATATTTTCACTAATAAAACTAATTAATTTTTACAAAAGTTTTGAAAAAAAAATGTAAAAAGAGCCATTATTAACATTTGAAAAAAATCACTATTTATATTCTTCTAAGGTTTCTTTATTTTTCATTGTTATTAAATACAAAATATAACAAGAAACTACTCATTAGTAATTACCCTTTACCGCATATATGGGTGCAAAACAATTATTTATAGTAATAATAAAAGTTTAAGGAAAATAAAAGTCTAAAGTTTAAAAAATGAGTTTCATTTTTATTACAATAAAAATTCTACGGTGATCAATGAACTCGTTTGCAAGTTTTTTCAACTTCTCTTCTTTTAAGGAATGTAGTTTTTTTTATTTTTTTTTATAAACTTTTATGTCCCTCGTCTAAATTTAATTTTATCGGAATAATATCAGTGTTATTTTTGTTTTTATATGAACGCACAACTTTTTTTTTTTTTTTTGTGCATTTGTAGGAACCCTTTCCAATACTCATGTCTTAACTATCCGATTCCTTTTTAATATCGAATCTCTGTGGTGGTATTTTTCAATAAATTTTTCTGAAAATGTCGGTCATTAGCTTTCATAATAATAATAATAATAATAGTAATGTCTCTTATGATTATTATTTAAGGAGTACAATCACTATTTATATAATTCATTTATAATAATTGATAATAAAAGTATTAATAAAAAAGAGAATGATGTTTATTAGAAAACTTGTCACTATTACTTAAAATTAAATAAATATTTTAAAATAAAACCCTAAAAAAAACAAAAAAAACCCTAAAAAAATTCTAGAATAAAAAGTCAATTAAAAACCTTCATACATATAAATTTGGTAAAAAATAATAATTACAAAATGAAATTTTTTATATATATATATATTACGTGACTTGAAATTAGCCATTATTTTAAGAATCGTAAAAATAGTGAAATTTAAAATAAAAAAAGAAAATTTTATTATAAAAATATAATAATAAATTTTTTGATAATTACATGACATTGAACTAAGTTGTGCTTAGATTTTACTACGTGAATCATAAAATGATTTTTAACTTGATATTTTTTAGCGCTGCGCACAAGCCAAAGCTTGCCCAGTCTTATTTAACCGTCATTTTGAACGTTTAACAGTTATTGTGGTGCCATAAACGTTCCGGTATTTATCCGCATTTTCCGCGTTTTTTTTTTTTTTTTTTTTTTTTTTTTGTTAGGCTTTCAAAACTTGTAATCTAACGCTGTGTAATTAAATGAGTAGATAAAAAAGTTGTTTTATTTTAATTGAATCAAAATCATAAGTGAGCAAAAAATTAAGTATAGAGCTTAAAAAAATGACGGAGCGCGGCGTTCTGTTAAATATACCCAAAAATCGGCCCATTAATATTTCATTTGAAAATTTAACATTTACGGTTTCTCAAAAAAAAGGAAGAAACAAAGGTGAGGTACAATATTAAAAGTATTACTTTTAGATTTAAAAAATTTTTTTTCTCTTTTAATGAGGTTTCAGTTTAACTATCTCTATGAACTCTTTAACTAAACTGATTAACTATTCTATGGTTATGGAAAAAAGGATTTCTTTGCAAATATGTATTTCTCACAATAATGTATTATTATTACTTATATAATTTATTATATATAATTTATAATATAAATAGTTGAAGTAAGTAAGTCCTGGTTAAAGGTAAAAGTGAACAAAAATTTGTTTCATATAAAAAAAGCAAATTATTATTTATATGTTTTATGGTGTTTTTTTTGTAAGTAAATGATGACTATGTAAACTATGTGTTTGTGTTTTAAAATTTTCAGTAATTATTTATTAAAAGAATAGTTGTTACCAAAGTATTATTATTTGGGTGATTAAAAATGAATTTTATTTGAAAAACATAAGTTTAAAACTTACATTCAATTTGAATATATATGTATTAACAACATAAAGAAACTTATTGAAATTACATTTATAATATATAATTTAACAATGGAATTATATTTTGACACATAATAATAAAAACAATTTATCATAAAAGTTTATAAATGATGATAATAAAGATGATAATGTAATGAATTGAACATCTATTTTGGTGGTCTTGAATTTTGGATAAATAAACAATTTTTTAAATAAACCTTTTATGTGCCATAACACCCACGGTTTATTTAAAAGATATATTTTTTCATTCCTCCATCAAAAAATTTGCTGACAGCATCACACATGTCGGCATTCTTAGTAATAAAAAAAAAAAAAATTGATTAAAAATTTTTATTCATTACGTCAATAATTTTTAATGTTTTTGTTATTTATTAAAATAAATTTTTAATACCTTCACAGTATTGTTTTTAATTTAAAGTATCTGGTTAATTATCTACCAAACAATTGTGTTCATACTGTGTGTGCTTGTTGTCAGCCATCCCATTGTGTCCCCATTGGCAATTACATGGCAATTAACGTTTATTTTTTTTTTAGAATCATTTATTATTTTTAGGGGTTAATGTTAATTGTTTTTAAAATTATTTTATGTTTAGAATAAATTTTATTACCATTATCTTTGCATAGAGTTAAAAATGATTTTAAAAAAAATTTTTCTCAACACGTGCATTTAATTTTTTTTTAAATGTATATATATTTTAATAATCATTTAATACATAATTTAAAAGTTGAAATTATACTTTTTGACTTAAATATTAGGTTGAGTTTACGTGCAGTAAATAACGTTTTACCAAATCAATAATTAAAAATTAATGAATAAAAAACAAATGTTTACATAAAATTATTTTAATATATATTTACATTTTTTTCATTAATTATTATTAATACTAGATTAAGGTTAATTCCCAAGGATTTTTCTTTGGTGCGCCTATCACTCTATTATTTGGTAAAAATATTTAAAAAAAAAAAAAATAATAATATTTAGATATAAATAATGGAAATGAAATATTAATTAAAAACCCAAAGTGCAAGTACAAACGTAAATTAAGATATGACCAGTCAGACATTAAGAGAATTGTTGCAGGAAATTGGGTCATCTTATCTTATCAATTTATTTTGTAGTAAACATTTCCTTGTCGGCATCGGTCTGTTTTGTTGTGGTTTCCTAGTTTTTAGTAAACATGGCATTCTATGA